TAATATAATGGAAAATATTTTGTAATAACTTTTGTGGGGAAGAGAGGAAAAAGAAAATTGAGTAAGAAACGGAGATAGGATGAATAGCTATGAATTTCATAGAAAGACTGATCAGTTGTTCAGCATCCTTCGATTGTCAATTGCTTGTTTTCTTGTACATGCATACATCTTCGTTCTTTTGTTTCCATAAAATGACGCGTGTTTAATACAGAGAACAACAACGACTTTAACCATTTACACACGCAACACTCGTTCGTGCTCGTAAAAGAAGAAAGAATTGAGTACAGGTTAATAAACGCTACACTGTATACACGGAAGAAATAAACTCGTTCGAGATCTAATTTTATCGCGAGATCTGTTGTTATTAATCGCAAGAGACAAGAATGAAGCATTGTGGTTGCTCTTTTTTTGCAATGCTGCAATTTACGCTTCGAATAAATAACAGAGTCATATTTAGTTCTTGATATATGATTCTTTTCTTCTCATCTTCCCTTAACGTGTGTGTGTATATATATATTTTATAATGAAGTACGATATGTTACCTCCATTTAAAATGTACAGTGATTTGTTTGTGTACAATACGATATATTTCAGATACTTCTTCTCGTTTGGATGAAAGACAACTGATAATTATTAGTGTCATTTTGATAAACTGAATCTATTGTATAAAGGACCAACAGTTAATGAATTGAAACAGGAATAGTAGTTCATCCGTATCTGATTTTTCAGGTGGCCCGGTTCGATGGAAACTCGCAATCGATGTGACGCCGTACCAGTGCCCGAAATGCTTCAAATATTTTAAATCTTCGAAATCTTGCTCCAATCATCGAAGCACATGCGGCACAGACAAGAAATTTCGTTGCGCTTTTTGTGATTATCGGTCTCATCAAAAGAGCAACGTCCTCCGTCATCTTGCAACGCAGCATCCCGAAGCAAGTCAAAAGAAACGAGTCAACTGGGTTCTAAAAATCAATGAGAAGATTGCCTTTTCGTCGAATGTGACGTACGAATGAACGTTTCAAAGTAAGGGGAGGAGTTGTTGACAATTGGGACAAGTCGCACTCTCGTCATCGAAAAACTCGTGAAAAAATTATTGTACCGTGCGCTTATTCGTATGCGCGTCAAAGAATGTAATATTGAAGAAACGATGAAAAAAATATGACAAAAGGAGCGTTGTATTTATTAGTTAATCCTAAAAGGATCTTTTTCTTTTTTCGTATATACTATACTTATACGATCGTTCTATAATACATATATATTCCTTCTTTAGATACAAGTTATCGAGAATCGTATGTTTCTTTTTCCCCCCCGATAAATATGTTGCAACCGACATTCTGCAGCATAATGCAGAGTTTCTCGCGTGTAAAATTACCCAAAAAGTATGAACGTTTCGTCTCGATGTACATGGCACGTTACATGCGTTACATTGCGCATGGGAGGCTATGTTTCGCAAGCTGAACTTACTGAAATTAAGCCGAATCGATCGAAATCGACCGATCGAAATGCATCGAGATTATCAGTTTGCTCCGACCGGCAGTATGTATTGTACCAAGTGTGTGCTCGGTTACAGTGCTGCAGAGACGTGGCGCGAAATACCGGGACAGATCTAAAGCTCGTTTTTTCTTTTCCCGATTACAGGTGATGCAAACGAGAACAAAGCGATCGAGGAGAACACCGATTTGCCCGTTCAAGCTTGGAAGATCCAGGAACAGGGACTACCGTTCGCCGAATTGAAGATACCAAAGGCTTACAACTATGTTGGCAAGAAACCGCCGGGACAGTTTGGCTGCAGTAGATGTGGAAGATCGTATATGAGGAAAGATTCATTGCAGCGACACGTTCACTGGGAATGCGGCAAGGAACCTCAGTTTCAATGTCCCTTCTGCCCTCAGCGATGTAAACGGAAGGCGCACTGGCTGCGACATATTCGCCGACAACATCTGGACAAAATCGGAGACATGGAAGCCTATTTGCTAGCTTACACGCCGAAGCTTGAAATCGACTAAGTGAAAGAGAAGCTCGCGAGAGAATGATATTTTCGAGCTCCGTTGATCGAAAACTCGAGCTAACTCAACGTTGATCGGACTCACTTTATGCTATTGATTGTCCAACATTCACTGCGATCGATCTTTTACGTCTGCCATTTACTTTTTCCTTCCTATTTTGCGCCAGCTTTCGAAAAAAAAAAAAAAACACGAATTTCTTGCGTTAGCCTGGTAACATTCACGTTGTGCCTATTTCCTTTTTTCTTTTTTTTTTTCTTTTTGTTTTTTTTTTTTTTTACTGTAGCAAGATGTTACGAGTAAACAAATCGCAAAAGTATCTTCAAGGGATATTAGGTCAATTTTAGGAATTGACTTCAGTTAGAGTTAAATCGCTAATTATTTCTTCGAAAATTGAATGAAGACATAAAAGTATCGAAACAATTGATAACATGGACAAATTTGTTTTCAACTTTTTCTTTTTTATATATCGCATTGCATGTATATTTATTCACCGAGAAAAGTTGTATGAATGAAATATATGTTTCAGGTTGCTGATACAAGCAAAATTAGCTTTACTTAAAGCAAAGTGAAGCAAAAGAATGTTATACTTTATTCTTAGAAGCGTGCATCGAACAATCGTAATCATGAGTCATATGTATTGAGTTTAAAGATATCGGCTGATATTTCATTAGAAATATTGTACATCGAATTTACAGTTAATATTTATATGTTTTTAACGTTTTGTGACATTCCTTTTCTCTTCTTCTTTTCTTTTTCTCTTTTTTCTTTTTCCAATTTTTTTT